AAACAATTGTTCCTTGTTTTTCAACAACGCGAAGAGAAAACCTAGTTCTAGTTTTGGGAATTTTGCTCGACATTGCATCTAAAATTGATTAATGCAAAAGGAAGTAGAGTAGATTACCTGGAAATTGAAGATGCTGGAAGTTTGAAATCGCCGCCGCACGCTGCCACCAAACCACCGGAAAAAGCTCGCAAAGGAAAGAGGAATTGAAGAGAAAAGAGTGGAAGAGAGTAGAAGTTTGGGGAAGTGCGAAGCGTGTTGCAGGATTAATAAAGGATGAAATGACTGTTAGAGTAAGGAAGTGGGAGAAGTTGAGTAACTGCTCTGAAGAACGTGCGTGGAAAAAGACGAAATCGCCCTTTAGATAATTTGAAAATCTTTCGGCTATAATTTCTGTCATTTCCTATTCTTTATTTTTTCTGTCTTACATTTTTTGTATTTTTATAATTGCCAAAAAGTGTGTAGTCGCCCACGTTTTTAGCAATTAGGGGCAAATTGTTATGGGTAAAAATATGCAAGGTCAAGTCAACGACAGTCAGCATAAGTCAGCGACGAAGACATTTATTGACAAAGCTTTAAGATCGACGACGCCTGCATTATCAGTGGAAGACCAAGTCAGGTAACGACCTCCTATTCTTTGGGAAAAGATAAGCTTAAGACTCAGTCCTACTTCAGCTCTCCTAGTCCGTTGGAGTTCAAAACAGAAGAGAGGGAATATCCGCAACTATCCTCCTAAAATCGAGGGCATGATCTTATCTCCTTGCAACGGCTAGGGCATGACCTAGCAAATCGTCTATATAAGGGCCGTAGCAGCAACGAGCATGGCATTAGTTCTGAGCATTCATCATATATTACAAACTTGTAGTTCAACATTATTTTTTTCATAGTGAAAGTTTGGTAGATCCTCATTCTACCCGCGGTTTTTACCTTCTTTGGGTTTTCCGCGTCACCAATTCCTTGTGTCATTTACTTATTTTTTCTTCTTCGCCTTACATTAAATTTTGCTTAGTTGATCCGTAGCCTAGATTTTGATATTCAATCCCACTTAACAAAAAATGGCATAAACAACAGCCGCTGTGGCAAAATATATGTCAACAGTGTCACACTCTCACTAATGTCTTATTTGGTTTGTTCGAGAAAATCCAAATTAATGTATGATTCTCTTTTTTTAAAAGGGACCAATGTATGTTGTTTGAAATCGCAAGGTTTGACTCATAATGTGAAAATGGACAGGGATAATTAGTATACACTAGACCCTAGTGTAGGTACCATAACCTACACCCCCTACAAAACGCAGCGTTTTGCGTTTTTCCCCTACCCCCACAAACTACAGTAACTACCCCCACTCACCCCCACTAACCACAGTAACTGCTGTAAATTAGAAATAACTTCCCCTACCCCACATATATATATTTAAAAAAAAAAAAACTATCCATATCAAATTATTCTCTCTCTAAAAACCATCTTCTTCATTTTTGTAGAATTTCTCTCTCATCAACACCGTCGAATCGGAACGAAATTCTCTTCAAATTATTGCAAAATTGCTTCAAAACACTTCATAATTGCTTCAAATGTCTGATATTCGAGATGAAATTAAACAATCGCAGCAGCATTTTGATAAAGAGTAAGTAATTTTGTTCATTTGATTACGATTTTAGTACAATTTTTGTATGAAGCATAATTTTGGTTCTTTTCCTTGTGATTGTAGAGTGATTTTGCAAACAAACGCTTTAGAGAAGAACATGCAAGATGAAACTGGAAAATCAGAGCAAAATGTTACCAAAGAGTAAGTAATTTTGTTCATATTCTTGCGATGAAAATTATAGAGCGAATTTATTTGTAAAACCTAATTTTTGTTAAAATTTTTTGCGATTGTAGTAATTGTTCTAAGATTTTACTGAAAATAACTAAAACATTAACAATTTATTAAATAAAACAGAGACGATGATGATGATGTACCTCTTCAGTCAAGAGTACACAAATTGAAAAAAAACCGCCAAAATGATCCAATTGTAGATCCTGAACTTTTAACAATGTCTCCACTACCAAGGTAATTAGTCATTTACAGAATATATTATGTTCATGTCTAATATGCTAGTTGTATTTGATAAAAAATGGTTTTATCTTTGTTTAATATGTTATTTGTATATGATCATATTTGATACTCATAATGTTCATTTATAGATATAGTTATGATCATATATTTATATTTGTTCATATGAGTATTTATTGAGATTTAAGAACAAAAGTACATTTCATTGAAACATCATTGTATATGATCATATTTGATACTCATAATGTTCATTTATAGATATAATTATGATCATATATGTATATTTGTTCATTTGAGTATTCATTGAGACTTAAATAACAAATGTACATTTCATTAAATCATCATGCACATATATAAATATGATAATAATCATTTTAGTGATATGCATTCAAACTAATGTCATGTAATTAATTTATAATGTAGTGATGTGCCATTTAGAGTGATACACTTGCTTTAATTTAGAGATGGGAAATCTGAACCATTAACTCTAAAGAAGGTTATAGAACAAAATGAATATGGTAATAGTTATGAAAGATACACTTTAAACAAGTAAGTTTATATGTATAAAATAATTGTTTTTACATTCAATTATTGTACATTGTATATATATACCAAACTTATTAGGTAATTCTTAAAATTTTAGTGAAAAAAAAAAAGATTCGAGTGAAATTTGTTATGTCAAAATCAAGACCACCAGAGACAAATCAAACAATAAGGTATAAAAGCTTTATACCAAAATAACTAATTATCTTCTTCATTGTATAAATTAGTTCATACTTTAATATCATATTATATAAAATAATTCTGTTTTTTTTAAGTGAACAAAGTGAGAACATTCCTGCTACTAATTCAACAATTAAGAGTGTGTCTGCTACACATAACACAACTGACAAAGAGAGTAGGGATGAAAGGTATACTAATGATCAATTTTATATAAACAAATGTTCATTTTTATAACAGTATATTTTGTGCACAATTTATGTGCATTTTTTATTAAAAGTATTTCTTAAAATTGATTTCAGAAAGCAAAAACAAGTTCAGCCAGAAGAGCAGAGCAATCCAGACAGGAATACTCCTGAGAAAAAGGACAAAAATGAAATTGATCAAAGGTATAAATATATAATGTTCATTTCATTTTTGATAACTATCTATTTTGTGTACCATTTATTTCATTTTTATTTAAAGTACTTCTTAATATTGATTTCATCAAGCAAGAAGAAGTTCAACCAAAAGTGCAAAGCAATCCAGTAAAGAATAGTCTTGGCCAAAAGTAAGAAAACTTAAATGTTCAATTTAGATAGACTATATGTTCATTTGAAAATCAGTACAAAAAAGTTTGCTCATGGCCAATAGTAATATAAGTTATATGTTCATTTTTTTATTTACTAATCAAAATTGTAAATTCAAACATATTTTTAATGAATTATCAGAAAACCCAAAGATGATGCAAGAATAACAACATTAAAGGACAAGATGCAAGAAATACATTTAGACATAGAGAGAAACCCAAAGTATGTTTAAACTTAAATAATTGAATTAATTTAATCAATTAATGAATATATTTCAAAGTTATATAACAGTATCATACATTTACAGGAAGTACAAAGAATCGACAATCAGAATTATGAGAAATCTCAAAAGAATGGAAAAGGCAAGCAAGAAAATCAGGAGAGGTAAATGATCATATTTATTGAATATTTTTGTTTAATAGTCATAAATATCAATTTTAACAATACTATTACTTTTGAAGGTGAAGCAAAAAAGAAAGAAAAAGGGCCAGTAGAAGAGAAAACTGTGGAAAAAGGTAAAAATTTTAAAATGTACATTTTTATTACAAAAAATGTTCATATTGGAAAAGCATAATATTAAATATTCAATAAGATTAAAAAAATTAAATTTTAACTAAATAAATTTTAATAGAAGGACAAGAAGGAAAAAAAGGGATTGAAAAAGAGAAAAACCCTAAAGACAAAACTGTGGAAGATGTCTTTCCAAAGACAACAAATGTAGAAGGTAAAAATTTATAAATGTACATTTTTATTACATAAAATGTTCATATTGGATCTACATAATATTGAATGTTCAATAAGATTAAAAAAATATAAATATTAACTAATTAAATTTTCATAGAAGGACAAGAGGGAAAAAAAGAGCCTGAAAAGGAGAAAATCCCTAAAGAGAAAACAGTGGAAGATGAGTCTACAAAGACAACAGATCCGAAAGGTAAATAGTGGAAAATGTACATATTCATTATCTGAAATGTTCATTTATATTGTATATAGTAAACATTTGTCATCCAATTTACATAAATGTTTATTTAATCTTTTATATTTGATCATTTCATATGCAGCACAAATTGCACCTGATTTTGTTCAAATTGAGGATGAAACTCATCTTCTAGATCAAGATGATGATAAAGTTTCCACAAAACTTAGTGAGGAGACAGCTCCATCATCACAAAAAAGTGATCAGTCAACCAAAATGAAAACAAGATACAAAACGGTTGCAAGGAAAAACAAAAACAAAAACCCTGTTGTTGTGCCAAGTGGTAGAATTACAAGGAGCCAAGGTAATCATAATACTTTTCTGTTTCACAATAAATATTACACTTTCAAATATACTAACATAAATTTTTTTAAAAACAATAGATGTTCTGTTAGATGAATCTGAAAAGGGAAGCCAGAAGAAGGATGTTGAACCTGCTAAAGAAACCGCAAAAATAGGACAGAAGAGAAGAATGTCTACAAGGACTTCTCCTATTCAAAAGGAAGCTGATGCACCACCTCCAGCACCTACTCCAATAAAAAAAATGGCAGGTGCTCCTGCTGAATATCCTCCAGACCATGGCAAAAAGGGTAAATGTTCAATCTTAATGTATAGAATGATCATTTATGATGGTATATCATTAATGTTCAATTTCAATATATAGGTGGGAAAAAGAAAACTCCAGCACCTACTCCAATCAGAAAAATGGCAGGTGCTCCTGCTGAATATCCTCCAGACCAAGGCAAAAAGGGTAAATGTTCAATCTTAATGTATAGAATGATCATTTATGATGGTATATCATTAATGTTCAATTTCAATATAAAGGTGGGAAAAAGAAAACTCCAGAAGAAGTGAAGAAAACTTCTAAGGTTGCTGGCAAAAGAAAAGCAGGTATATAATGATATATTATAAATGTTCAATTTCTATATATAGAATGATCATTTGAGAAAACAATTTTGTTCATTTTATCATTTGCTTACTGTACATTTTCAATACTTAAACAAAATTATATATTTAATTTTCAGATGTCAGTCCTGCCAAGAGAAATGCTGGAAAGAGAAAAAAAATACAAGAAGTACCATCAGATGAACCATCTCAAGATCCTACTGATGAAAGTTCTACTGACAGTGATGATGATAGTGAAGAGTCAGTTTATAGAGAAGAAGCAGAGCCTGTCAGTGAGGATGATTATGAGGTGGAGGAAGAGGAAGAAGTAAAGCCAAGGAAGAAACAGGCAAAGAAAGGGAATTCAGTGAAGGCAAAGGCTGAAAAGCAGGAGCAAAAGATGGTACTGTATGATGAAGGAAAGATTGAAGGTAGGGGAAAAAAGAAAATGAAAACTGAAATGGTTCAAGCAATGGAAACTGATGAAGTTGAGGAAATTCAGGAAGATGAATTTGAGGAAGAGAAATCTTCAAAGAGAGGAGGACATATGAAGTTCATTGCATGGATAAAAAAGATGACACCTACCCAAAAACAACAACTTGTTGATATAGGGTTAGTATCACTTCTTGACATTAGTTTACCTCAACTTGATCAAAAGTTCTGTAATTGGTTATTGGGAAGTTTTGAAGAAAATAGCCAGTGTTTTGAACTACCAAAGAATGAAAAAATAGAAATTGAGGTAGAGGATGTTAGGGTAGTTTATGGCTTGCCTACAGGAGAAATTCCAATTGTTGAGCCAAAGTCTGATAAAATTAGTGAGGAGTATGCAGAATTTCTGAAGAAATGGAGAAAATCATGGTCAGGAAAAACTCCATCAGTGAGTCAGGTATGATCAGTTTTAAATGTTGATTTTAAATACATTAAATGATCAAAAGTATAAATGTTTTGTTCATTTTGTTTGCAGATTGTGAATGGATACATAAATGATAAATTCACCAACAACAGACCACCAAGTGAACATTTCATTACTAACTTTTTAGCAGTGGCTGTGAACTGCTTGATGAAATGTGTATCAAACAATCAATGCCATTTCAAATTTCTTTATTCTATGATGGACAAAGAAAACATAAAAAATTTGAACTGGTGTCAGTTTGTATATGACTCACTTATCAAATGTCATGTTGATTGGAGAAAGCAGCAAGGCAAGGGGTTCTACAAAGGCCCTCTTCAATTTCTGATGGTATATTCTTAGATACAAAATGTTCATTTAAATTTTAATAAATGCACTTTTTTTTTATTGTTTATGTTATGTTCCATGTTTTCTTTTTTCTTGTAGTTGTTCTATTTTGATAGAGTTCAGAGGTTAGACAAAAGGCCTCCAAGAACAATTCCTATCATATCTGCATGGAATAGAGACATGGTTCTTGAGAGATTGAAGATTGAATTAGAATTGGGATTTGGGAGAGGGAAAATTCTACCAAGGATTGCTACAGAAGTTGAAGAAAGTCCTAAAGTTATAAAATGATCACTTTTGTTAGCATAAATGTTCATTTGTATAATCTGAAATGTTCAACTGCATAATTTTTAATATTCATTCATATAGGTTTTTATGGATGATTTTGTTTCCCTGGTAAAAACAACTTGTTCAAACCTGTCAAATCTTTCTTCAAAATTGGTGAAGGCAAAGGATATCTTCCCTGGAAATGACTTGGTGAAAAAAGTTGATGAAGTTTTAGGAAAGGTGGCAGCTAGGGAACCATCAATTCTAAGCCAAGATGAAGAATTCTTTGGCAGTGAGGATTTCCTAAATGCACTTGCACAAGCTGAGAAGAATCTGATGCAAGGGTCTGAAAAGCAAACAACTGAGAAGCAAATGACTGGGAAGAAATTAACCAAAAAGGGAAAGGAAAAAGAACAAGAATATGACATCAGAAAAGCTTTCAGCTTGGGGTTGACTCCACCTTCTCCAGCCATTGGTAAATTCTAACTAAAAGAGACTATATATCCTAATTTTTATATGAAAAATTCTAAATTTGTGGTCTAAATTGTCCTAAACAGAAACAGGGCCCACCTCTTCAACACTTGGTGATATAATTGAACAACCAATAATTTCAACAAATGGTAATATGTTCATATATTTAATAATAATGTACATAAACTTAAGTAGAAATGTTCATTTCTAATTATTATGTGTAAATACTATTAACTTAGTGTATCTCCAAAATGATGATTTATAATACAGCTGGAGAAAAGGATGTGGGTAAAACTTCAGCAGATTCAGAACAAAGAATTGAAGAATTTTCTAGAACTTGTATAATGTTCAATTAAAAAGTGTAAAATGTTCATTTACAAACAAGAAATATTCATTATTAATTGTATTTTTTTGTTAGATGCAGCAACTGGTTCAAAATTTGATGCTGACACTAGGTCAGATAATGAAAATTAAATATATAATTTTGTTTAACTATTGAAAATGTACAGTAAGCAAATGATAAAATGAACAAAATTGTTTTCTCAAATGATCATTCTATATATAGAAATTGAACATTTATAATATATCATTATATACCTGCTTTTCTTTTGCCAGCAACCTTAGAAGTTTTCTTCACTTCTTCTGGAGTTTTCTTTTTCCCACCTTTATATTGAAATTGAACATTAATGATATACCATCATAAATGATCATTCTATACATTAAGATTGAACATTTACCCTTTTTGCCTTGGTCTGGAGGATATTCAGCAGGAGCACCTGCCATTTTTCTGATTGGAGTAGGTGCTGGAGTTTTCTTTTTCCCACCTATATATTGAAATTGAACATTAATGATATACCATCATAAATGATCATTCTATACATTAAGATTGAACATTTACCCTTTTTGCCATGGTCTGGAGGATATTCAGCAGGAGCACCTGCCATTTTTTTTATTGGAGTAGGTGCTGGAGGTGGTGCATCAGCTTCCTTTTGAATAGGAGAAGTCCTTGTAGACATTCTTCTCTTCTGTCCTATTTTTGCGGTTTCTTTAGCAGGTTCAACATCCTTCTTCTGGCTTCCCTTTTCAGATTCATCTAACAGAACATCTATTGTTTTTAAAAAAATTTATGTTAGTATATTTGAAAGTGTAATATTTATTGTGAAACAGAAAAGTATTATGAGTACCTTGGCTCCTTGTAATTCTACCACTTGGCACAACAACAGGGTTTTTGTTTTTGTTTTTCCTTGCAACCGTTTTGTATCTTGTTTTCATTTTGGTTGACTGATCACTTTTTTGTGATGATGGAGCTGTCTCCTCACTAAGTTTTGTGGAAACTTTATCATCATCTTGATCTAGAAGATGAGTTTCATCCTCAATTTGAACAAAATCAGGTGCAATTTGTGCTGCATATGAAATGATCAAATATAAAAGATTAAATAAACATTTATGTAAATTGGATGACAAATGTTTACTATATACAATATAAATGAACATTTCAGATAATGAATATGTACATTTTCCACTATTTACCTTTCGGATCTGTTGTCTTTGTAGACTCATCTTCCACTGTTTTCTCTTTAGGGATTTTCTCCTTTTCAGGCTCTTTTTTTCCCTCTTGTCCTTCTATGAAAATTTAATTAGTTAATATTTATATTTTTTTAATCTTATTGAACATTCAATATTATGTAGATCCAATATGAACATTTTATGTAATAAAAATGTACATTTATAAATTTTTACCTTCTACATTTGTTGTCTTTGGAAAGACATCTTCCACAGTTTTGTCTTTAGGGTTTTTCTCTTTTTCAATCCCTTTTTTTCCTTCTTGTCCTTCTATTAAAATTTATTTAGTTAAAATTTAATTTTTTTAATCTTATTGAATATTTAATATTATGCTTTTCCAATATGAACATTTTTTGTAATAAAAATGTACATTTTAAAATTTTTACCTTTTTCCACAGTTTTCTCTTCTACTGGCCCTTTTTCTTTCTTTTTTGCTTCACCTTCAAAAGTAATAGTATTGTTAAAATTGATATTTATGACTATTAAACAAAAATATTCAATAAATATGATCATTTACCTCTCCTGATTTTCTTGCTTGCCTTTTCCATTCTTTTGAGATTTCTCATAATTCTGATTGTCGATTCTTTGTACTTCCTGTAAATGTATGATACTGTTATATAACTTTGAAATATATTCATTAATTGATTAAATTAATTCAATTATTTAAGTTTAAACATACTTTGGGTTTCTCTCTATGTCTAAATGTATTTCTTGCATCTTGTCCTTTAATGTTGTTATTCTTGCATCATCTTTGGGTTTTCTGATAATTCATTAAAAATATGTTTGAATTTACAATTTTGATTAGTAAATAAAAAAATGAACATATAACTTATATTACTATTGGCCATGAGCAAACTTTTTTGTACTGATTTTCAAATGAACATATAGTCTATCTAAATTGAACATTTAAGTTTTCTTACTTTTGGCCAAGACTATTCTTTACTGGATTGCTTTGCACTTTTGGTTGAACTTCTTCTTGCTTGATGAAATCAATATTAAGAAGTACTTTAAATAAAAATGAAATAAATGGTACACAAAATAGATAGTTATCAAAAATGAAATGAACATTATATATTTATACCTTTGATCAATTTCATTTTTGTCCTTTTTCTCAGGAGTATTCCTGTCTGGATTGCTCTGCTCTTCTGGCTGAACTTGTTTTTGCTTTCTGAAATCAATTTTAAGAAATACTTTTAATAAAAAATGCACATAAATTGTGCACAAAATATACTGTTATAAAAATGAACATTTGTTTATATAAAATTGATCATTAGTATACCTTTCATCCCTACTCTCTTTGTCAGTTGTGTTATGTGTAGCAGACACACTCTTAATTGTTGAATTAGTAGCAGGAATGTTCTCACTTTGTTCACTTAAAAAAAACAGAATTATTTTATATAATATGATATTAAAGTATGAACTAATTTATACAATGAAGAAGATAATTAGTTATTTTGGTATAAAGCTTTTATACCTTATTGTTTGATTTGTCTCTGGTGGTCTTGATTTTGACATAACAAATTTCACTCGAATCTTTTTTTTTTCACTAAAATTTTAAGAATTACCTAATAAGTTTGGTATATATATACAATGTACAATAATTGAATGTAAAAACAATTATTTTATACATATAAACTTACTTGTTTAAAGTGTATCTTTCATAACTATTACCATATTCATTTTGTTCTATAACCTTCTTTAGAGTTAATGGTTCAGATTTCCCATCTCTAAATTAAAGCAAGTGTATCACTCTAAATGGCACATCACTACATTATAAATTAATTACATGACATTAGTTTGAATGCATATCACTAAAATGATTATTATCATATTTATATATGTGCATGATGATTTAATGAAATGTACATTTGTTATTTAAGTCTCAATGAATACTCAAATGAACAAATATACATATATGATCATAATTATATCTATAAATGAACATTATGAGTATCAAATATGATCATATACAATGATGTTTCAATGAAATGTACTTTTGTTCTTAAATCTCAATAAATACTCATATGAACAAATATAAATATATGATCATAACTATATCTATAAATGAACATTATGAGTATCAAATATGATCATATACAAATAACATATTAAACAAAGATAAAACCATTTTTTATCAAATACAACTAGCATATTAGACATGAACATAATATATTCTGTAAATGACTAATTACCTTGGTAGTGGAGACATTGTTAAAAGTTCAGGATCTACAATTGGATCATTTTGGCGGTTTTTTTTCAATTTGTGTACTCTTGACTGAAGAGGTACATCATCATCATCGTCTCTGTTTTATTTAATAAATTGTTAATGTTTTAGTTATTTTCAGTAAAATCTTAGAACAATTACTACAATCGCAAAAAATTTTAACAAAAATTAGGTTTTACAAATAAATTCGCTCTATAATTTTCATCGCAAGAATATGAACAAAATTACTTACTCTTTGGTAACATTTTGCTCTGATTTTCCAGTTTCATCTTGCATGTTCTTCTCTAAAGCGTTTGTTTGCAAAATCACTCTACAATCACAAGGAAAAGAACCAAAATTATGCTTCATACAAAAATTGTACTAAAATCGTAATCAAATGAACAAAATTACTTACTCTTTATCAAAATGCTGCTGCGATTGTTTAATTTCATCTCGAATATCAGACATTTGAAGCAATTATGAAGTGTTTTGAAGCAATTTTGCAATAATTTGAAGAGAATTTCGTTCCGATTCGACGGTGTTGATGAGAGAGAAATTCTACAAAAATGAAGAAGATGGTTTTTAGAGAGAGAATAATTTGATATGGATAGTTTTTTTTTTTTTAAATATATATATGTGGGGTAGGGGAAGTTATTTCTAATTTACAGCAGTTACTGTGGTTAGTGGGGGTGAGTGGGGGTAGTTACTGTAGTTTGTGGGGGTAGGGGAAAAACGCAAAACGCTGCGTTTTGTAGGGGGTGTAGGTTATGGTACCTACACTAGGGTCTAGTGTATACTAATTAGTTTTGGTGTGGCACAGTTTGAAAAACTCAAACCTAAATATTATGGTTTACTTTTGGTTTAGGCTATAAACCGCAAATCGATCTTTCATCCCTAGACTGTACATAAGCATAACATTAATCTTGAAAAATAATTTTTCCTTGAGATTAAATTAGTAAGTGATCAAAGTGTTGAAATTGTGTTTGCCTGTTTGGTAGGGAATTAGGGATGGAGTTATGGTGGTGGTTGAAGTTGTTGAAACTGGGGCGGAATTCCAATTCAACAGGGAGGGTGTGAAATTAAAGTGGGAAAAGGAAGATGAAATATCTTATTTTCATATTAGCAAAACAAAGATTTTGACTACCTTTCCTTTGATCAAAGGGTGTGGAATCAAAGTTGGAAAAGGAAGATGAAATATTCATGTCCTCGCATTAAAGAAACAAAGGTCAAAGGGTGATGAAATTGGAAGTATTATATATTCAAAGTGGAATCAACTTTCTATATTGTTTCTATATATAGATTATTATTCACATAATGTTAATATAGATACTATTATATTTTATTCCACTCTGTTGTCTTATGTTAACTTAATTCTCATAATACTATTAGTATACATATAAGGTCAGATATTCATTTAATCCTTCATCTAATGTTAATGATTTATAAATACTACCTCCATTACATATTACATATTATGTGCAACGATTAGACATTTTTCCTCTCTACTTTATGTCAAATCGTTGCAGATAATATGCAACAGAGGTAGTATAAAGAAAAGATAATCTTGTATGTAGTACTTGTTGGCCTTGGAATCGTCTTAATAAATAGTTTATTATTATTATTATTATTCTATTGTCATAGTATTTACTTGTGGATAATTCATGATATGATTGGTTAAGTTTCTGCATTGGTATACACGCTGAAGAGAAATGCTTAACTTATAAAAATATAAAAAAGGTATTCCTTAAATTATTCGTATTAATTAGTTTGTGGCTAAGATTATAATACTGATTTTTTTATCTCAAGAATTGCAAATGGAAAAAACAAAAGGAGCCGGAAGGAGGTCTTGACTTTTTGCACAAGAAGATGAAAGGAACTCCTGATGACTTGGAAAAGTCATAGTTGTACTGCTTAAAAAGTTGAATAAGCTTATAATAATACAATGCAGTGATAACAGAAGTAGGAACAAAATACACATTAGTACATTACACAATGCTGATGTCCCTTTTTCTGTTTCTTCTGCTGGCATGCTTAGTACTGCAGCTAACAGCATCATACTCCCCTCCATCCTTTGCCAAGCGTGGCTGTCAAGAATACTGCGGTGATGTCCTGATTCCATATCCTTTTGGAATCACTCCTAACTGCTACTACAACAAGTTTTATGAAATCATTTCGTACCCCTAAACCTTTCCTGCATAAGTTCAATTTAGAAGTGATGGATATACAATGGGATGGCGTCGAATCAGTATGTGAATCGAAATCTGCTTGTAAGAACTGCTGTCCATAATACATGCAGGTCTAATGCTAGTATTGATTTTAGAGGTAGTCCATTTGCTTTCTCAAGTTCGTCGAATGTTCTTGTCATGGAAGGTTGTAGTGGCAGTATTGTCTTAAGAAATAGGAGTGGAAATATCTTGAGTGGTTGTGCTACCGTTTGTGGAAAACATACTACTGTTGAGAAAGATTTGTATGGGGTTGGAGGCTGTCAAGCCTTGTTAACTAACACTGAAAGCTCCTTTGAGGTAGTCCATAATTGGATTTCAGATTGTTGATCACAGAAACCAGACCATCATAGGTCTTATCTTTGATTAGCAAGTAATAATCATCTTTCAATTATTACTAATTATTAGAGGATATATGCTTGCTTGGAGACATTATTGTGCTTAAGTTTTTGTATCCAGACTAGATGAATCCATAAACTTAACATAATGTTTTTATATGTTTTTGTGACGCTTATTTCAGGATTCAGTTTAGGCATGGGATTAATGGAACACTTTATCAGCATATTCATGATGCAAATGGAGATTTTCATGTTACTTGGAAAATGCGTCTGCAAATGGCAGCAGAATCAGCTGATGCTATAGCATACCTGCATTCATCTTCATCTGCCCCTATTTATCACAGAGACATTAAGTCCGCAAACATACTTTTGGATGCTAAATTTAGAGCCAAAGTTTCAGATTTTGGGGCCTCAAGAGCCATTGACATTGAACAAACACATGTGACTACATGTGTTATTGGGACGTATGGTTATTTAGATCCAGAGTACTTCCAGTCAAATGTATTCACTGAGAAAAGTGATGTTTACAGCTTCGGGGTAGTCCTTGTTGAGCTTATAACTGGCAAAAAACCAATCTGCCCCACCAATGACGGGGGATGGATTAGTTTGGCAGTTGAATTTCTGTTCCACATGGAAAATTCTCGTCTCTTTGATATTTTGGATCCTCGGATTTTAGATGAGGGAAAGAAGGAAGAGTTTGTTGCTGTTGCTAAGCTTGCAAGACAATGCGTAAAAATGAATGGAAAAGAAAGGCCTACTATGAAAGAAATCGCGATTGTGCTAGATGAGATCAGGTCATCCCATGTGTCTTATTCCATGGAACCAAATTCTATGGTTGGCAAGGAAGTGATGATGGAATTGAGTGATAAGCATGTTGGTTCTTCAAGTACAAGCTCATTCTTTCCTGGTGTTGACACGGATGCTTCCTCCACTATGGTCCAACGAGCTATGGCACATACATTATGATGTAAGATACTTGAAACTATAGCTAAGGAAGGTTTCATGAAATTATATTCATAGAAAAATGAAATATATATTTCTGAGCATGTATTTTGTTAGGATGACCTTATCCTGAATTGAATACCTTGTCCAAAAACTTTGTGGTGCAACATGTAGCTAATTGTGAATAGAATGTATTAAGGAAGGTCATTGTAATATACTTGTATTTTAGCTTTTCAGGTTTTTTCTTTTTTATCTCCTAAGGTAGTAACTAGTAAGGTAATGCTGATATCTACTGTGTTTTTTAAAACTGTTTTCATGAAATTTGCAAATAATCTGGATATTCTTTATAACTGTTTACATGAAATTTGCTAATAATCTGGAAATTCACAAACTATTTTTCACGCATTCACAATATGCCAACTTTTTCTTGGTGGATATTTCTACAATCTTTAATTCTGCAAATATGTTGAATGATCATGTGTTTGATGCTACTGAAAACATCACCTGCCTATAACTATAATCAAGAAGCAACCGCCTTCAATCCTACCATCATAATTTCAATCAAATGTTATTTAACAGAAGGCATTCTGCACTAATAAGCCTATTGAAGCTCTGTTATGTACTTTAAATTCCTACACACAATATTTAATAGGAATTCTTATGGTACCTGCTAATTCCTTTGTCTTCTGCTAGGACTTAGATGTCTAACAGGGATTGAGAAACTACGAAAAGCTAACAGTTCAATGACAGTGAAATAGAACCATGATGAATCGGGAGAGTTGAGAAACTACTTTACAAATTTACTTTAACAGCATAAACAAACTCGCAGGTGAGCATAATATCGCTTGGTTTAGGCCGGGAAGCCAGAACATAATACCTAAAACAAAACACACAAACTGAAAAGTAAAATAAGACCAACTTAGTAGAAGCATAAACAATAAGCTACTGACTTGCTAATCTGCTAGTGATGCAGCAGTAGCACTTAATCTTATTCTTGAAACTAACAGGACGAACAGAATCTCACATGGTTCTGATGAACCCTCATTCAGTAAGAGCAATTCTGTCCATAATCTTTGAGACAACATCCTTAGACTCCTTCAGCAGTTTAATACTCTTATTCAGCCTCTCTCTCTTTGTTGCTACAGATGGAGACTCCTCTAGCATCCTTTCGATGCCTCCCCCATACGGCCCCATCAGCTCATTCACTATCTCGTACTCCAGTTCTTTGTTCACCAGATTCTGAATACTGAACAGCAGATGCAAGGCCATTGAATCAACCAGCCTTCTTAGAACAATCTTCCAGTACGCTGTCATCCTAATCTTCATGTCCAATGCTTGCTGTGCCACATGCTTGTGCATCCTCAAATGCTCAATTTTAACCTCACCGAACCCTTTCATTTTCACAACTGGTTTCTCAGACTCGTCCTCAAGAACCCTCATGAATTCTTCTTGGCTGGTCATCAGCTCAGTCCAAATGGTCATGTACTCAGGATTGCAAGTGTAATCAGCAAGCTTTTCCATCTCAACAATTTCTACAACGCTCTTAACAGATTGATCTTTCATCTTGCTGATCAGACTGTTTGCAGGCCTCCTAGTTGAGGACTGAAGCGGTGGGTAGTTGTCACAGTGATGCATCAGCACTTGCACCACCACATTTTCAATGTATTGCCACACCTTGTTAACAAAATCCACAGGACTTCCAGAAATTCCCTTAACCTTTCTCTGCAGGATGGTAAGAAACCCACCACGAGGAAGGAAATTTGGCAGCCCAATACCCTTAGCCTCCTCCAGAACCCGAACCTCTTCCATCAGAAATGCAGTGTTAGCTCAGAAAACCTGTTCAGCATCTCCGCCAAACGAGCAGTACAATGCATACCTGAATCATCAGGATAATCATCATATTCACCCCTAATCAGAATCTTTCTGAGAGACTCCTTTGCAGATCCCGTGATCTGCATAAACACCGCCATTGCCTCTGCCGCAGATGATAAATTCTGAGGCATGCTATTCAGTTCAGCAACATTAGAATTCAACTTTGCATTTATCTGCTTAACAATGTTAGGCAAACACTTTGAGATTATACTAGCCTGTATATGAACCAACCTTTGGGCCAATACAGGAACCCCCACAGTCGAGTCATCAATCCTCGACAGCAAAGGGTGAGACCCAAACAGCCTTGCCTCCTCCAACCGCGCTTCCTCATAAGTTTCCTCCCCAATTCTGTTCCTAACACACACATACCCGAGACCAATACTGACATCATCATTTGTAACCTTCTCCAATAAGCCTTCAGGAGCCTTATCAGCCTTAGTCACAACAGCAAGTGTCCTCTGTCCAGTTTTATCAACACTCTGAGACATCATAATAGACTCACACGTCGAAAAATCAACTGTTGCAGATAACACATTCAGGACAATACTCTCCTCTGGAGTAATATACTCCATAATAATATCCCGAATCTGTTCATATATATTCTCAGGCTGTCCATGAACAGGAACCCGAGTGATACCGGGCAGATCAACCATTGTTAAATCTGGGACACCATGTTTCTTCACAACTAATGTTATGGGAGCATTAGATATCCCCTTAGCATTACCCGCGATTTCTTGAGTAGCAAAGTTGATTGCATCAGACACATTAGCTTCATCAGTCCTCACATTTTTACCCATGTACTCAAGGAAGAGTTCAGGGTCAGGACTAGAATGATGCTGCAGGCGCATAATAAGCGGAACCCGGGTGCATATACCTTTCCCTCTAGGAAGACTAATCCCAGCTAAGGACTCTAGCACACTAGATTTGCCAGAGGACTGATCACCAACTACGACGATAGTTGGTAACTGAATCCCCTCCTTCATAACTTTCAGGTTTCTTAGCTTGTCGACTGCATCAAGGAGAGGCCGAATACGGTCATTGTATGATGAAATCAGGGGTGGTGGTGGGGTGATATCAACATCTTCAGCATGAGAGTTAATTGTGAACAGTGGTGTATGAACTGGTACGAGTGACTTGCTATCATCGTTAACGTTTGTTCTTGTTGCTCTACTACTGGATTTTGGTTTGTTTTGTAGTACCATTTTTTTAGGCAGTTGGTAAAAGCACTTAATCTAGTTACAAGAGGGAATTGTTGGTTGTTTCTGTTGTATGAAACTATGAACTATGAAGTATGAGTATTTATAGTGAAATGTTACGAATTTACGAGTGATTTGGTGGAAGTTGGAGTGTTACATGCTAATTTAAATGTAAATGAAGACTTTTGGATAACCCAAAAAATTAAAATGATTGGGAGTATCAATGCATAAGCAGGTTGCAGGACAATTATTGTTGTGCAGTAATAGAAGTGGGAAACGTTTGGTTTATTTAAGCTTGTTAAGCAGTGATTTAGAGAGGATTAAAGCATTATATCTACAATTAGTATTGATTAATGAGTTAATGAGTATTTAAATTAATAATGTGGAATAGGAAATGGTTAATATTCCTAATTTCCTATACTGCGGGTGGAGTAACTACCGTAGTTCTTTGTGGTCTGTAGAGAAGCAAAAACTTTTACTCTGTAATTAACCCAAATTAACTTCTCCTAATTTACTCATATGAAGTTAATACTTTAATGTACTATTTTTGAAGTTAAAGTCATGATTTGTAGTATGGAGTACAATAGTGTTTTTTTTTTTTTTTTACATCCAAAACCCAAGTATAACATGACAGTTAAACTTATACGGAGTACTATATAGAACTCTATGTTGTAATAGATTAGTATAGATCTTACAAAAAAGACCATATTATATATTTAAATCCCAAAAGAGGTTTGAATTTTTGTAAATGATTTAATGAGTGTAATTTCCTTGACACAAGCCCAACACATAATACAAACTCATAGCATGCCCTTTTATTTTTTTTAAGGAACATAGCATGCCCAATTAAGTGTACAGATGTTTGATGTACCTAATGTAAATGATTTTTTAAGGTAGGAAAAAAAACTAATAAATCGGCATCGCTTACAAGTCAATCTACTCCAAAATTCTTAGCTATACACTTGGCCAACTAAGCTAGTCGCAACATCTATTGTACGAATATAGGGCACTTAAAAATAAACATACGTTTTCAAAGCCCCATGGTTACAAAAAAAAAAAAAAAAAAAAAACTTCCGCAGTTCTTACAAAATTAAACTCCGCATGTTCATTTCAGATGGACATATAACAAAGGGTGACTCTGCTAGTCGCGAAGTCTACAGATTTGTGAGAGTAGCAGCTTGCATCTACCTTAATATTTTAATATGTTCAAATGCCTTGAAAGTTTTCCATCTACCTAATTCTAGCAAACAACCAGTGACTAGAAACAAAATGAAAAGTTTTTTTCTTTTTAGGCTTCACACTCTTGACAAAAGACACCATCTTCTCATCAATCCTTCCCTTAGTGAAGAAATTGGCTAGTCTTGTATCATCTTCATCCCCCTCTTGGTTCTCAAGCAATACTTTTTCAAGGGCGTGCCGCCAACATATGATGGCAGGTGTCTTCCAACAACCGCATTTTTTCACGCCTTTCAGTGGTATCTCGTACGTGAACTGAAAACAGAAGATCAAGAACAAATTTACAGTTTTGAATCATGCACCCCCCCCCCAAAAAAAAAAAAAAAAAAAAAAAAAAAAAAAAAAAAAAAAAAAGTTTTGTATGAGCACAAATGAATCTCTCACACTCTCTTCTTTTTTTTTTGGCTTGGTATGAGCAAGACAAGATATTTGTTGCAAGAGGTGTCCCATAGCTCCTACATATGCTCATATTTCTCAATCATATATTTCAAAATTCATCCTATCCAGCACCTATTACATTTAACATAAATAAGATGAATGGTCAAGAATTTTGTGCCAAATAAAAATCCAAAAATTTGCCTAACTGAACACAAACAACTCTTTAAGCACATACCAAGAGGATATGATCTAAATCTCGGACAAATAGAAAGAAAAGTTAGCTTAAAGTTTGTATTTACAAGTTCAGGCATGAATATGCACTTCATCCAAACAGACATTAAGGAAAAGTTTGCCATCTTTCATAATACCCTTGTTGAAAATGGCAAGCAACAATGTAAATAAACAAAGTTCATAAACAATGACAATCTCTTTTGAAGCATTAGCAAGCAATTGTAGGTGTCAAATGCCAAAAAAAAATTCATCTCACACTAAGCACTAATAGAAGTCACAAGATATATAATTATGCACTAATATATCTTGAACAGAACATGCATGATTATTATGCAATTATGAGAGTTGAGCAGATTATGTTAGTGGAGTTGAGCAGAGATTATGTTACTATATGCATGATTACTAATTTACTATACATGATTCTGTTCTAGCGTTCTAGTTGCATTACTTAGCAGAGATTATTCTAGTTGCATTACTAATTTGTTCTACTAATCCCAAAATTTTCTCAATAGCATCTATTTATGAATTAAGTGTTACAAAAGGCACATTGACTAGGAATCAAATGGAAACTGCAACTACAGATCATATGATCTACAAGATAGAATGAAGTACCTTAAGCACTTTGTAAATTGGAATGAAGTCGTTATATATAAATATACTCTGGACGAGGTGCAAGCCACAAAAGAGCCTCGACAAAGGTGACAGGAGTACGTTTTATAAATGATGCACGGAGTGATACTATCAAATGCTTGATGCCATGGAGGGGAGGGCGAGACTTCATCCTCACTTTTTCTGGAACTATAAGATCCTTTATTGACAAACACAACTCCGTCAAATACAAATCATTAGTTTTCCAATCCAATTGACATAAAAGCAATGTGATGAAAAGACTAAAAAGAAATACAAAATGAGTTAAGGAAAGGAAGAACCATTCCTTATATTACCTCTTCCAAACCAACACAGATTGACAGTTGTTCACTATTGCCTAGCTTGGAGAGAAACTTAACGAGTCTAGCATACCACTTATCGTTCTTAATGTCAGCCTTTAGGTAAACGGGAGCCTTCTTCAACTTGAAAGAACACTTTCCTCGAAAGGTTATAAGTTCATCATCTGCGTAGTGAAAGATTTTCAAGTTGGGAGTATCAATTTGAACGGTTAACAAACTCCTACAACGCTCAAATTCCAAACAGGTTAGATGTTGACTTGAAAAGGAAACGTCTTCTAGATTGTGGCACTCATATAGAAACAATTTTTCAAGGACAGGAGCATCTTCAAGAAGCGTATTCAATTCAGAATCATACAAGCTAGAACCAACTAGTTTCAGAAATTTCAAATTCTTGCAATCAGAAAACTCAATCTCGGATGACTGTAAAACTTCTTTCCACACGTCTTCATACACATAAATGAAATTCAAAAGACTCGGTGCATCAATCACAATCACCTCAAGCTCATCGCAATTTTGCCCAACATCAAGCTTCACAAGTTTAGTGAGACCAAACACTTCAAGCCTTGTAAACCCCTTGCAACTTTTCACAGCTAAAGCCTCAAGATTAGGGATGCTAACAGCAAGACTCCCCATAAAACCCTCATCTAAATAAACATTCACAAGGCTAAGCTTTGTCACTGAAGGCAATTGGGTATTTGCCAAAGAAGCCGAAATCAACTCACAACCTTTCAAATTCATCGTAGTGATGAAGTTCACACTAAGCACACTCTTAGGCAAACTATACCTAGGACCATTCCTACCACCAATTTCCAAGCTTAGAGTTCTAACGCGACAACCAACAACACAATCAAGCCAATGATCTAACCGCGACTTCAACTCCAACTCATACTGAGGTATATAAAGTTTGAGCACTTCCAACTTCGAAATTGACCCAAGGGTTCTATCAAGAAAAGCATAAAATTCCTCCCTTTCCTTAACAATTGACTCCCTTTTCATTCTAGTAGAATCATCATCATCACTAGGCATATCATCCACATCCAATAAGCTATTAAGGTTAAACCTTCCAAAATCAAAAATGGGTAATTGAATCCATAATGCACGCCAACTGCTCGATAAAATGCTAGTTCTTGCTGCATCCCTAGTTGACAAATACGAAAGTATATGCGTTTTAATGGGTTCTGGTAAATTAGATATTCGATCTGAATTTTGAATCCTCTTCTCCATGATCTAATGCAAAATATGATAAAATGTACAAGCATTAGCAATATGATATAGAGCAGTTATACTTGATATAGAGCATTAGCAGATATTAATATATAATCTTGTTGTATACAGATAATACGAAATGGGGAAATGGAAAAATTGTAGAAAATTTAAAGTTTGATAAAGAATTAGCGTTTACCTGAGAAATTGGAGCAAAGATGAATGTAAAAACCCTAGATAAAAGTGAATTGTGCTGTCTTCATTTTAACTGCTGTGTTGAGGACTTGAGGCTTCTTGTTTGGTAAGCAGAGTTTTGGAAACTTTTTAGCGAAGTACGAGTATCTTATTAAAAGAGCTGTGAGACCCAAAAAGTTCTTTGTAAGAGCTTTTTACAAATTAGCTTTTTTTTTTTTTTTTTTCTTTTGAATAGACAAATT